ATGAAGAACCCGAGGTTTCAGTGAAGTAAATTGATATTAATGGGAGTTTCTTGAAATGCAAACTCGCTGCATTGTTGGGGCATTTTGAGCTGGGAGGTGGATTACATGTAGGGTCCCAAGAGCAGAGAGCCTGTACCTGGAGCCCAGCACAGCTTTAGGGGGTCGGGAAAAGCTAGCTGCAAGGGGCAGCTGTAGGCAGACCGGTTTCTGTAGGGGAGAAGGCAGAGAATGGAACATTGTTGGGGAGGGAACAGAGTCTGACTCCATGAACCCTGGCTGGCAGTCCTGGGAATGCTGGTCTCCCAGTGGGGGGAGGCAGTTGGGGAAGCTGGTAGGTGTGTGGGCAGAGTTGGGGGTCGGGTGAGAAGGCCAGGCTGGTACAATGGGTGCATTGACTCCTGGTTAAAAATTGCCAGGTTGAAGCCTTCCTCCTCTAATTACACAAATTAATTATTTACTGCTCAGGTTGCTATGTCTGAAAATAGTACTTTTGATTTGGTGATGAAGGTGGAGAATAACCCACCCCTGACACAGAAGAGCAGTAAAAATCAGTGCACTAGTCTCTGAGGGGACAGGAGTGGGGTTGGCACTCAGTTGTGGGGGTGTAAGCATTTAAATTCCAAGAGGAAATAGTCTGATTTTGGATGAGATGGTGCCCATTATTATCTGAAATCGGTTTATGACTGCTTATTGTCACTCACTTTTACATCAGTACAAAAGAACCACAAACTGTCAGCTCAAAAGGGAAGATCATTAGCCCAAGCCCTCCCCTCCACACATGTGATCTGGCTTTAGGGATGGGGAAAACTCAGGTCCCATGAAGTCTCTGCTTCAGATTACACAACCAATCTGGACCACCTAGAATCCAAGCCTCCTGACTCTCAAACCTATCCTTTATGTATGACTTTTGGCAAGCCACTTCCTGGCTCTGGACCTCAGTTTCTCTCTTTGGCAGTGGTAGCATTGGGCAGGACACTCCCTGAGTTCTTCCAAGTTCTGACCTTGAGTAACTCTCTAGTGCTTGGGAGCAACTCCTTTTTGTTGCTCCTGGGGTTCTGAGGGCATCTTGAGTATAAAAGTCACTATGTGCATGCATATTTGCAGTATACATGAAGTTTGTATATGTCCAGAGGAGTGCATGGTTATTCAGACTGATGAGAGGAAATCACTGGAATCGGGACTATTCCTCCTCCTGAAGGTGTCCTTATTCTCAGCAGAGGAGAAGCCCAAGCCTAGAGCACTGGAGATAGAAGACAGTGGGAGGGGCTAGCTGGCTGGGTTGGGCCGGGATTGGCATTTGGAGGGGAGCTAGGGAAGGAGGGGCTCAGCCTCAAAGAGCAAAGCACTTTCTCTGCCAGGATTCAGAGCTGAGGCTGGAATTTTTGGGAATACAGCTTTTGAAGTCCCTCCAATGGCAGCCCAGGGACCAAATTATGGTTTCAGAATTTAGATTCTGAGACAGAAGACCACCATCACCACTCCCAGCCTCACTTTGCCCCCTGAGCCTTTGGACACAGGGGACCATGGCATTACACTAGGTCTCCTCCCAGGGAAGCCAGGACAGAAGTCCTGCAAGGTAGATGACCCCTGTCTTCTTGCTCTTATTTTCCATTTCTTCTCCCAACTGGGGGGAAAAAGATAAAATTCAAAAGAAGTGGGGGTTTCTCAGAAGTGGCCTGGCTGTAAGAAGGGAGATTTCTTGTAGGATCAGGGATATGGGGACGCTATCAGAGGAGGGGAGGCTTCCAGAATGCCTTAGGAAGTGTTGTCAGGGATATGAATTCTGGTGGAAGAAGTGAGAAGAGAGGAGAAACAAATTCATTTTGGGGGCGATTCTGGAAATCAGAGTTCCTGGCCAGATAATCCCAAGAGGAAATGTCTGTTTTTGCCCGAGACTTCTTAAAGTCTCACCCCAAACCCTATTTGAGAGAAATTAAAAAAAAAAAAAAAAAGGGCCAGGAGGCCCAGATTCTGGGCCTATCCCATTCTGACTTTGGAGTTTTATATTTGGAGGCAGTTCAGGAGGCCTTCCACTGATTGGTCATTAATCCCGTGAGTTATTGTCTGCTAAACAGAGGTCAGTGGGAGAGAGGCATCTGATCTGTCAGGAGAGACCTGCACAGTCAGTCCCTCACGGCAACTCCCTGGGCCCTATTCCTCCCTTGCCAGCTTCTCTCTTCCTTCCCCAGCAATCTCCCCACACCCCCATCCCCGACCCCAGGCCCCCAACTGTCCAAGATTCCCCCTCTCGCCTTGCCCACGTTTTGTCTCGACATCCATCTGCAGGGGTGGGATTTGCCAGGCTGGGACAGAGCTTCTAGGTGAGGCGGGACCCCTGATACAGTGGAGCTCATACCCAGCTGGTCCGCGGCATGGCCTCCTTGCTCACTGAGCAGACTCTGCAAGCCCTTGTGGGAGCCTTGTTTTGTCTTCCTCCTTTTCTCGCCCCCACGCCTGGGGCTAGGGGAGAGTTCAGCTCGGAATTTACTTCAATCTCGGCCTTTTTCTTCTTTCAATCTCGGCTTCTGCTGAGCCGGGTCTACACCGGCCTCCGCCCAGGCGGGAAATCTTCCTTCCTCTGTCCCTTTGTTCCTACCGGCTCAGGCATCGTAGAAAGGTGGTAGTTCGGGATCCAAATACCAAGAGCGATTTGCGGTAGCATTTCCCATTTTACACCCCCCAGTCTTTGAAATTTTATTAATATTTAAAAGAGATGGCGATTCAGGTGTGTGTGTCTGTGTGTGTGTGTGCGCGCGCGCTTTTCACAACTCTCCGAGGCCACAGAGTTGGACAGTGAAGCTGGAGAAGTGAGAGACCCAGAACCCAGACAAGGCCAGAAAGAGATTGCTAAACACCTCCCCACCCCCAGCCCCCACTCCCAGGTCTTGGCTTCTCAGGGAGCCTGGTGGGCAAGTCAAATTTGGGGCTGACTGAGCTGGGGGCTAGGCTGGGGCGGGGGTGGGGAAAATCCCTTGGACATCCCACAGCTGATACCAGAAATCGATTTTAAAGGAACTAGCCAGTTTGTCCTTATTGAGAGGAGAATTTTCGTTTGTTCTTTGATGATTTTTTGGGCACAGAGGGAAAAGATCTCCAATGGCCTCCAAGGATGGGCCCCCCGGTGATTGCTTGAGGAGATTTTAAGGGCCCGGTGTCCTGGTACTGGGTATGGATTAGGAGTGGGGGAGTGAGTGGTCTAGCTCTGGGGAAACAGGAAAGAATGTCTATGAAGGGGGGGAATTTTCTCTTGATTTTTGCCTTTATTATTAATTTCTAAGGTTTCTGTGTCTTAATCTCTTAAATTAAAAGAAAATATTTCTCTCTCTCTCACACTCACATACACAGACACACACATACACACATGGTAAGTTTCCCAAATTTCCCCACTTGAAATCCAGGAAGAGATTGTTCCCTCTCCTCTCTCTAGTCTCCCCCTAAATTAGGACTTCACTATCAGGGATGATAAATCCCTCTCTCTTCCTTTTCCAGACCTCAAAGTCTTCCCTCCAACCCCGCTGGTGATTCCCACCCCAAGTTTCCTGCCCAGGCTCCTCACTGCCCCACTCTGTCCCCTGAAATTTGGAAGGTCTCTAGCCTTCAGAGGTACCTCAGACGAAAAGGCTGCTCTGGAGCTGCCGTTCTACCATTCATCCCCCATCCTCCCAGCCCCCAAAAGGGGCTATCTGCCAACCAGAAATCTCCGGAGAGAAATAATAAGGCCCAAAAGGAAACCAAACTGGGATCTAATTGTGTCTCAAGCATTTGGAAGGGGCTTTGCTCTCAGAATTACTTAAGAAGTCCTTACTGTATTTCCTACTGCATTTGGGGGTGCATGTCCTCTGAAAATTTGCTCCAGGTTAGCTTGCTTTCTCCCAGCCTTCCTTTTCACTCCCACTCCACTGCACTCCACCTCCATGTGTGGCCAGAAGGGACCACAAGAATCCAGGCTCAGAGCGGGGAGGGGTCTACTGCTGTGTCTGGAAAACTCCTCTGCCCTTGGCTTAGCTCCAAGCTGATCCTCTTGTAGGCCCGCAACTGACTGGATGTCCCTGGGTTCTCCCTTTATTCATTGGGACAAAGCCGTGCAGGTCCCACAAGTGACCAGGTCCTCCTCTTCTCTTAATTTCACAATGACTCTCTCTCTCTAGTGGCAGTAACAGCTAGAAGAGTTGGAGGGTCTCAGGTACATTCTTGACTTTTTAAGACTTAAAAAAGATCCAAAAGGTGCTGGTCTCTTAAACCTCTAGAAGTCTCCGTGAGTGAATCACTGACCCACCAGGCCTAGGGCTACATAAAGTCCAATCCAACAGGTCTCTAACCAGGGTCTGGAGATCTCAGGACAGACTCTTTGTAGCCTTGACTGTTTTCTCTGAGGGTCCTGGCTTGAGCCTCAGCAGTGGGTCCAGCTTGGGTATTTTCTTTTCTTGATACTAGTAATAAACATAGAAAAATGGCCTTCACTTTCCATCTTCACCTCCCCACCCCGCTCAGCCACCAACTCTCTAGGCAGACATTAGGATCCTAGGGACCTCACAGTAGGAGATTCTTCAACCGGTTCCTTGCTGGAGGTTAGGAAGGCCAGAGTCCCCCTCTCCACTCCAATTCAGCAGGGCCCCAGGAAACTGGCTGTTCCAGCCCCTGAAGTAAGCCTGACTTAGTGGGCCTGAAAGAAGTGGGGACTGGAGGAGGCCAGGGGCCACACCTTATGAGAGTAGACAGTGGGACCCTTTCTCAGCCCAAAGCAAAGCCAGTGAGTGGGGAGCTATGGGGTGCGAGGGAAGATTCGCCTGACACCGACACCCTCTCCTGGAAGGGAGACAATAGCTGGAAACCATCTCTCACCTTTGTTCTCCCAGTCCCTTCTCTCCTGGTCCATCCAGATGGGAAAAAGCAAAAGCCAAGGATTGTAACCAGGACGTCACAGGGTAGTAGCTGGCTCTGTCTACGCAGAGTTAAGAGAACAAGATTTCCAAGCTGCCTTCGTAGAAAAGAGAAACTGCTGGACTTCTATTTTATCCTCTAAGCCCGGAGTCAGCAGTTCTGCCAAGCTGCAAACACTCCTGCTTTTGGAAAAGTCCTGGTGCTTTTTTTGTCTTTTTCTTCCACCAGGAACGGCTCTTCCCCACCCCCTGCCCCAAATCTGCAGACACCTACATTCTTGCCTCCTGTCTTCCTCCTACAGGCCTCCTAGCCTTTCCCTGCCCTTCTAAAACACAGTCTAAGACAACTTGAGCTTTTGTAGTTTTCCTCACTTGTTTCAAGAGTCCTAAATCTTGCAGAGCTAAGAGAAGTAAACAGATTTGTTCTGAACAATAATAATAATAAAAATAACTATCCTCCATCTCTTTTGCCAGTGTATTTAAAATTAAGCCATTTTGCTGGTTCTTCGGATCTTCTTAGAAGTACAAATGTCCTTATCACCTCTTAGCTCCTTCTGCCTATCCGGAGGTGAGAATCTTAACAGAAACTTCTCCGTGAAGTTCTTACAGCCTCTCTATTGCCAGCAGTGTCTGGAACGCAAGCTAAACACAAGGTCTTCCTTTTGTCACTCTCTCCTCAACCCCCCTCCCCTCCAAGATGGTCTGGATTTTTGAAGTAATCACTCACCGCTTGTTGTCTGTTCTCAAAAATGGGAGGGGGCTTTGGAAAAGAAAGGTCTGGTCCCCCCCCCCTTCAGGTTGGAAACTGGGCCAGGAGATTTGCCGGGAGAGAGGAGTAGAGGGTGTGGGGGAGAGAAGAAACAGACTGCTGAGACTCTGCAACCAGTCCCGCAAGAGTGAAACTACTTAAAAAAAAAGTCCTAGTGTTCCCACTGCAAATGAATGCAGAGGGGCACCCAGGAACCATCCCCCCACCCCCACAAGGCCAGGGCCTCCCAAGCTACTTCTCGGCTTAGACAGAATGGTTTACTAGTGGTGGTGGGGAGCTGTGAACTCCACCAGCTTTGCCTTGTCTTTGCGCTCCTCTTCCTCCCCCACCAAAATCTGAATTTAAAAATTTACCTGTCCTTAAAAAACAAAAACTTAAAAGCTCTACCTTCTTTCCTTTCTCACTCTTTTTTTTTAAACTGGGGGGGGCGTTCAAAAGGCCCCCCTCCCCCATTACCACCATCACCTTCCTTCCTTATCAGGCATCTAAGCTTGCTAAAGGGGGAGAGGTGGGGGTGTGTGTGAGCTTGTGTGTGTGTGTGTGTGTGTGTGTGAGAGAGAGTGTGTGTGTCTGTGTGGTTTTTTTCCCTGTGCAAAAGCAGAGGCCATTGTTACGGAGAGTAGGGCGTACCAGTCTTATAGGGCAACCGCACTGTGGCGGCTTGGCCGTGCCGGAGCCCGGAGCTGGATTCTCGGCGAGCTGAGCCGCCGAGCACCTTTCGGTCTTCTATTTTTTTCCCGCTCCCCTACCCCCTCCCTCCTGCGCACCCCCGCTCCTAAGCCGAGTGAATTGAAGCGGACGCCGAGCGGCTCCTCCGGCCGGTCTGCCCCTCGGGCTCCCCAGCCGGGGTGGCTATTGGGGAGGGGGGCGACGCCGCTTTAAACAGTGGTCTTTTTTTCCTTTGCCTTCAAGGAGGGGAGATTTCTCGCCTGCCGCTCGCGCTGGGGCTCGATGTGAATATATATTATGTCTGCCTGTTCTCCCCTCGTCGGTGGCTAAGGTAAGCTGGACTGAAATAGGCTATCAGTTTGTGAATGGCGGAGAGTATGTCTCAATGATTTATGGCCCATATGACTCCAATCTCGGTTCAAGAAGAGTTCACAAGCTTTAAGCTTCCTTCCACGCAGCGACTCTCTCTCTCTCTCTCTCCCTCTCTCTCTCCCTCCCTCCCTCTCTCCCTCTCCCTCTCTCTTCCTGCTTCTCTCCTTTTCTCTTCTCTTTTCTTTCAGCAGCCAGATCTGGACTGAATTTTTGCCCGGCTGCTAAGAAGAGCCTAACCTTTTTCTCTCTTCCTTTTTTGTTCTATTTCTCTTCTATGGTTTTGTTTGTTTTATTTTAAAGTCCTGGAAGGTGGCCTAGCCCCTCTCCCTGGTCTTCCCAGCTATTGTTACTCTCCCAAGCTTTTTTGGGGGGGGGGGTTGCTTGGAAAGGTGGGTTTCTTGGGGTGGCTCACCGCCCTTCTCCAGCGAGGCCCTGGGGGGAAGCTGGGAGCCACCGTCTCCTTCCCTCCCTCCCTCTCTCCCGAGAAGCCATATGGAGCCTGGATTTTTTCAACATGGAGGCAAGGGAAATAAGACATGTTTGGCTTGGTAGAATTGCACCCCACCCCCCTTTTCCTGGATCCCCAGATCTCAGATCTCCTCAGCATCTCTCCCTCTTCTCACTGTCCCATCAGCCGGGCCTCTGTGTGCGCCCTCCGGCCGGCCGGGCCTGGCAAAGTCCCGGTGTGGAGTTGCTAAGGCGCCTTTTAATTTAGTTACCTTCAGCGCCCAAACTTGGCTGCCCTAGGGCTGGTCCTCGGCCGGGTGTGCTTGGAACCTGCCGCCGCTAACTGTTTCTGCGTTCTGAACGCTTTCTGTTCGCCTCCTTGGGCCAACATAGCTTGTCGCCAGGCACCATGGCAGCAGCAGCCGAGACAGCCCGGCGGCGACAGCGGCAGCCAGGGACTAACTCCATCCACAAACCTTCCCGGCCCTTTCTCGCCGCCGGTGGAGCCTCCATTCTTTCCTATCACGTCTCTAGCTTCTTGCTTCCCACACTCGCCTGGCCTCGTTCCTGTGATGGTTTGTGAGTTCATTGCAGGGGGAGCGACAGGAATTTCGGCCCCAGGCGTCTAGTCAAATTATTGTTTTATTATAACTATCATCATCATCATCATCATTACTGCTGTAACAATCATTTAGACTAAATAAAGCCAGGGCCCAGCCAGCCAACCCCCTCCAACGTTTTTATTTCATTCTCTTATCTATTAATAACAAACTCAACTGATGCCTGTTAATTAATTCCCCCTTCAACCAGGGCTGCTCCGAAGCTAATTTTGGTTAAATCATCAGAGGCTAATGGTAATAATAATAAAGGGATTGGGTCAGCCTGGTCAATTGAACTCCAGTTCTCTTCCCTGGAAGGACCTGCTGCTTTGCAGACCCCTGTGTGTTTCCCAGAAACAAATTCTTCCCAGAAACCAGTCGGAACTCAGTTACCCTGCTCCCTTTTGAGTATAAATCTGTGCCATTAAGAAGGGGATTTATGTGTGGGAGGGATTTCCGTCACCTGGACTCCCTTTTTATTTTATTTTCCTATTTTTAGTTTTCCTTGGAGTTGACCAGCTGGGCTGAATGAGATTTAACTAGTCCAAACTCATATGTCAGAAGAGAGGGTCAATCTAAAGATTCTATGAAAAGTGATGGTGAGGAGTTGAGAAGACAGATTTGGTGAGCTTGGGGGGATGCAGTCAGAAGTTTCGGAAGAAATACACAAAGTCCTGTGACAGCTTGAACCTTTATTTTCCAGCACACTTTTAAAAGCCTGCATTAAACTAATGATTTTTTTTTGTCCTCAAGGAACTTCAGTAAACAGGGGCACCCGGTTTCCAGCCCAGATAATATTGCTTAGATTGATTTGTTTACTTTTTTTCTTAGGGAAAAAAATTCTGTTTTAGAAAGCACTTTCCCATCTCATTATAGAAAAGTCCAGCAGTTACCCAGTTTCTTTCTTCTTTTCTTCTTTTGGAAAAATCAAAGGAAGCAGACTGTCAAGGAAAGGGGTGGGTAAAAAAAAATATGCCTGATGAAAAAAAGAGAGTGGGGGAAGATCTAGCCAAATGGTCACAGCACCAACCAGTCCCACCAAAGAAACAATCCTGTTCCATTTGGGGGCCCCATGGAGGCCGCTGGCTGTAGGATCCCAGACTTGGTTAGCAAACACTCAGACTGGAGGTGGTGGTACCTGCAGCAAAGACCATGGAGGTGGCTCAGTTCCACTGGCTCTGGAGGTTAAAAATCTTCAGGAAGTTTTGGGTCAGGCTGCTGCTTCTTGAGGTGGGAGGGTAAGGAGAGGCTCCCTCACACCAGAAGGTTCCCTGCTCAACTTGCTTCTTCCTGCTGCCTCTTCCAGCGATCCTCAGCCTCAGTTTTTTTTCCTCCAGGTTAGACTCTGCTTGGATGAAAGGAACCTAGATGGAGGCAAAGGCAGGAGGCCTCTCAGCTCAGAGGACGGTGTTGATGATGCTTTTATTTTGGAGTCCCCCCCCCCACTTGAGCCACCCTATCCCAGAGTTGGGGGGGGGGCGCAGGTGTAGGGAGAGGGAAGAGGAGAGGTCAGGGGCTAGTAGGCAGGCAGTGAGAGAAGCCATCGCCCTTGCCATAGTAAGATTCTATATCCAGGCAGTTCCCAAAGGAGTGGAGTCCTTATTTTTTTAAGTGAAGATGAAAACTGATGGGCTTTTTCTTTTAAAATTATAAAGCACTGATATAAGAAAAATCCATTTCAGGCCAAGCAAGTGGCCTCAGCATCTGCTGTGAAGATGTTGGGTGGGGGAGAAGAAAAACCCTATTGATGTCAGTTCCCTTTTCACTTCCTAAGATGGATTCGAGCCCCAGTCCTCTTCCCCGTCTCTTCTCTCACCCCGCAGGTCAACCGCTACGAACAGATCCCGGGAGGAGGGGGGCAGAAAGGGGGGGGGGGTCCGGCGTGCCACGTGACCCCCAGGGGTGCCAATGTCCGGTCGTGAGGGTATCAGGCCCTTGCAAGTTGCCACCCACCACCAGGGCCTCGCCCAGCGATGCAGAAAGCCACCTACTACGACAACACCGCCGCCGCACTCTTCGGAGGCTACCCCTCATACCCTGGCAGCAATGGCTTCGGCTACGACGGTCCCACTCAGCCCCCCTTCCAGGCCGCCACGCACCTGGAAAGTGACTACCAGCGCTCAGCGTGCTCGCTGCAGTCCCTGGGCAACGCTGCCCCGCACGCCAAGAGCAAAGAACTCAACGGCAGCTGCATGAGGCCGGGCCTGGTCTCGGAGCCCCTGCCGGCCCCGCCCGGCTCGCCCCCGCCCAGCGCCGCACCTACCAGTACCACTAGCAACAGCAGTAACGGGGGCGGGCCCAGCAAAAGCGGCCCCCCCAAGTGTGGTGCCGGCTCCAACTCCACCCTCACCAAACAGATATTCCCCTGGATGAAAGAGTCGAGGCAAACGTCCAAGCTGAAAAACAGCTCCCCTGGCACAGGTACCGGCTCCTCTGGCTTCGTCGTCGTCAGCTTTTGTCCCTGCCAGGAATGTCACTGTTATTCTAGCACCCAGCCCCTAGGCGCCCAGGCGGCGGCGGCAGCTGCGGCGCATTTCCCGTACCCCGCCACCACCTGGCGACCCCTGACCCCGCCAGCACCCTCTTCCTCCTGCCCCCCCCACCCCGAACTTCGGAGAGGTCCAGAAGGCCAGGTGCTCGGCCTCAGCCCTTTGCAAGGCCGCGGAGTCACTAGACGCTGCCAGTAGACGCAGAGTCGTCAACGATTGATTATTATTAAGTATTACTACTGTGGGTATTAATCACAATCGCTCGGGCGGCCCGCGGTCCTGGCCTCCAGGCATGGCAGCCTCTTCGCCCCCCATTTCCGTGCCCTGCCCAGAATGTCCAGACCCCCCCAGGGGCTCTCCTAAAGCACCTGTCTGGGCCACAGGACGGGGCGGGGTGGGAGGGCGGAGGAGTGTCTTTACACCTGGAACTAGGGATAAGGGGGGAGAAAGCATGTGCGAGAAAATCCAGCCCTAAATAAATGGCCATGCGGCTCTGTCTGCGTGACATGATCAAATTTTCATAAGCTGGGGCAGTGAGAGGAGAACAGGTCTCTTAATAAATGCCACTATTATAGAGTGTCCGCTAATGCGGCGGGTGGGGGCGGGGGGCGCTGGAGAGGAGGAGGCGGGGACGCGAAGGGGAGGGCGGCGGGTGCTCCGAGTCCAGGCCTGGATTTATTAAGAAACGATGCATTCAATTTCGGCGTGTTCAGTAATTATCTTTTATTTCATTTTCTCCCCTTCCCACCCCTCCCCCTCGGGTCCAGCGGAAGGCTGCGGCAGCGGCGGCGGCGGAGGAGGCGGAGGCGGCAGTGGCGGCAGCGGGGGCGGCGGCGGGGGAGGGGACAAGAGCCCCCCGGGGTCTGCGGCCTCCAAGCGGGCGCGGACGGCGTACACGAGCGCGCAGCTGGTGGAGCTGGAGAAGGAGTTCCACTTCAACCGCTACCTGTGCCGGCCGCGCCGCGTGGAGATGGCCAACCTGCTGAACCTCAGCGAGCGGCAGATCAAGATCTGGTTCCAGAACCGGCGCATGAAATACAAGAAGGACCAGAAGGCCAAGGGCCTGGCCTCGTCTTCGGGGGGCCCCTCCCCCGCCGGCAGCCCCTCGCAGCCCATGCAGTCCACGGCCGGCTTCATGAACGCCTTGCACTCCATGACCCCCAGCTATGAGAGCCCGTCCCCGCCCGCCTTCGGCAAAGCCCACCAGAATGCCTATGCGCTGCCCTCCAACTACCAGCCCCCCCTCAAAGGCTGCGGCGCCCCGCAGAAGTATCCCCAGACCCCGGCGCCCGATTACGAGCCTCACGTCCTCCAAACCAACGGGGGCGCCTACGGGACGCCCACCATGCAGGGCAGCCCCGTGTACGTGGGCGGGGGCGGCTACGCGGATCCGTTGCCGCCCCCTGCCGGCCCCTCCCTCTACGGCCTCAACCACCTTTCCCACCACCCCTCGGGGAACCTGGACTACAACGGGGCGCCCCCTATGGCCCCCAGCCAGCACCACGGACCCTGCGACCCCCACCCCACCTACACAGACCTCTCCTCTCACCATGCGCCTCCTCCTCAGGGTAGAATCCAAGAAGCGCCCAAGTTAACACACCTGTGATGGGAGAGGAAGGGCTGAGGGGCAGGTCCTGGGGTGGAGGAGACCCAGGAGGGGCGGGGGCTGTGGAGTTGTGGGGTGCAGTCGGGAGGTCTGAAGGAGGAGGCAGGGAGATGGCAGCCAGGCTTCCCGGGAAGAAAGGGCCTGGAGCTCCTTCCCCTCCCCCTGGCCTGAGAGGTTGCTTTTTAAGTCCTGCAGCTCTGTTTAGTCTGCCTGCCAACCCATTGGAAAGGAATCTACAGCAGATTGGAGATGACCCCATCAACCCTAGGCCTCCAGCAATATCCAGTTGGAATTCCACCCTAGGGAGTCGGGTAGAGGAAGAGGAGATAGGGAAACAGGCAAAGAAGCACATTTTAAAAAACAGACAAGATGGCTAGGCCATCACCAGCCAACCAACCAACTTACCTTCCTTCTATGTGGTTAATTCCCCCAAATCTTGATATTTTTTTTTCCTGGCAATTCTCCTTAAAAAAAAAAAATTTAAATACATTTCAAAACCAAGGGCACAAAGCATGTCCCCCTCCCACTTTCCTGAATCCTCAGATTTCTTCCCATGATAGGAGAAGGTTGATTGGGCACTCCCTCCATTTCTAGTCCCATATTTTTCTGCTCTAGGACATTAAAATCTATACCCCACCCCTATCAATTACAGTCTTCAGAGGGCTCAGGGATGGTGAGAGATCCTGAAAGAGCTGTCTATATTATAAATATATATATATTTTTTCTTTTATGGCAAAGCTGGGAGGTGAGGGCAGGCAAGTTGTCAGGACTAGAGTTTTGCCCATTCTGCTGCCTCCCATCTCAGCTCCAGGTCCATCCCCCCCTCTCCACAGAAAGCAGTCGGTGACACGAGGTTCTACACTTTTCTTTTCTTCTGTTGCTCTCTTGACTTAACGTGAAAACAGGGTATATTTTGACAAACTGTCCCAGGCGGGGGCTGCAGCTGGGCCTGTGTGCCTTGCTCAACCCTGGACAGGACACTTTTGTTGCACTTAGAGTTTACATTTTAATGGATATAAAAACAACTGTGAGAGATGCCTGGGCCTGCAGGAGTCCAGCATTGCTCAAAAAAAGTGTGTTCTAGTGAACATTTTCATATATATTTATTGGTTATAGCTTGTTAAAATATTTTCTTTTTTTGTATTATTTATCCCCCTACATTATGTATTTATATGAGGGAAAAAGGAAAAAAATTGTACTTTTTTTTTTTTTTAGTATTTACTTGTTATAAAGGACGTTGTGTTCCCTGTCATGTAAAACCAGCTATTTTAGTTATTGTACTCTAGAAAAAAAGCTATAGATTTATGTTAAACTTGTACTTATGAGCAATTGTAATTAGTTCTAAAAGGCATGAACTCAGCTCCTAATTGTCACTGTATAGTCCTGAATTTGTAGAATTAGAGTTAATTCCCTCTTGGAACTTTCTTTGTTCTTCTGTAGTTACTTTTTTTCCTTACTTAAAAGGGTTGTCTGTCATATAATTCTTGAATAAACTTTCTGTTATCAATTTTATCTTGTCTTGGTGGTCTAATTTAGACAGCAGAGCAGCAGGCTGCTGACTGCCAGATTTCCCCAAGGGAAGCAGAATGGTGAAGACCCCATCCTGGCCTTTTTATGATCCCCTGCTCCGGGCCCTACCTCCCCCAGCTGTGCCTCAGGTTTATTTGGTTTTTCTCACACCAGCTTGGAACATTCTGCCAACTTCTTTAGTTAAGATTTAAGTAACAAGTTTGGGGCAAAGTTGAGGCCTAGACTTCTCAGGTCAAACCTTAAAACTAAAGTGAAATTAAATCACTAAATAAAATTCAGGGCGGAGGGAGAGGAGGCCTGCTTGATTTCCCCTGCCAGGGTAAGGGGAGAAGAGGAGGGTGGGAGAAGCTATGGATCCAAGCGTACATAAAATGGTCCCCAGGCTAATGTGCCGCTCTGTTTCCACGATCCTTGGGAAAACTTCATTTCTTAGTCGTGGTTCCATAAAAGTTTTATCACATTGGAGCGAGGATAGAGAGGGTCTGTCAAAGATGAAATGTCACCGCCGCGTCGCTGGAGCCGATAAGAGCTAGGAGACAGGAAAGCTGAAATATGGAGCTAATTCGTTGAAAGAGAAGCGATGGCTGCTTGCTGAAGAGTTGCATAATTCTAATTGTAAGCGATGCTCTCGCATTGCTTAATTAGGAGCATATATTTGGTGGTAGAGATGGTGGGGGGTGGGGGGATGTGTCGGTGAGAATCGTTCCAGGCCCTCAGCCTTAAAGCCAGGGCTGATTTTCATTTTTATGTTGTATCCTGGCAGTCCAAGGTTAGTAATTATAGCCTTTATACAACAATAAATAACAATAAAAAAGCAACCTGAATTCTACACCCCGCCCCCCACACCACCACCAAGTAGGATTTTAACTGAACTAGGCTCATCCAAGCAGCAAGCAATTTAGCATTGGGTCAGGCTATAATTTAAAGGCATAAGAGCGTGCAAAGTTTGATTGGGATCAAATAACGCTCAAGGGTTTTTCTTTTCTTTCTTTCTCTCTTCCTCGTCCCTGAATAACATTTTCTGAATGATGTAACTAGATGAAGCGCCATGTTTGGCTCTGGATGTAGAGTGGACTGATTATTTATCTAGCAGGAGAGAGGCAGGCCAAGTCAGAAAGTTTAACTTGAGTTTGAAAAACAGAGCTTTGGCTTGAAACTGGAATTGCAAACAAGAAAAATAAGGGCCACCTTGGCTTGGTGTCCCCCTCCCTTCTCTCTCAGAGATTTCAGCCCCTAGCTAAGGAGCCAAAGTCTAGGGGAAAATATCTGTACAGTAGGATTCACAGCACAACAGGGGGGGGGGGGAGGGGAAGTGGCGACTCTGGGAAGGAAGGTTCTCTTGGCCCCTTGTAACACCCAAGTTTTCTGCTGTTCTTTAATCTGGCCGTAAAATCTGTCAGCAGGGTTAGAGAGAGCCGTATTTCCTGCAGGGACAGCCGGAGTTGTTGCGGAGAGAATCGCTCAACCCTGCAGCCAGCTGGAGAGGCTGTGAAAAAACTTCCAGGGCTTCTCAAGGGGGTGGCCGGAGGGAGACCCCTCTCAGGCCTCCCTGCACAACCTACAGACAACTACTCTTCTGTGCCTACTCCCCACTTCCATCCCATCCTCACCTCGAAGTGACAAAAATTACTTTCTTTGCAGCCGAGCTGGACACAACGGTCTCTGGCTAGTTTGCTAGTTTCCCTTGGATCTGAGCCCTCCAGAGTCTGCCGCCCCTGTCCCTGCAGCCCCCACGTCCAGCTCCCCCTTTTTCCTCCTGGCTCTCCTCCACCCCCACCCTTCTCCTCAGATTTCTCTGTCCTTTTTAAACACTCACCCCCACCCACACGAATGAATACTTACCACCACCCACGCGGCTGTTACACTGTCAGAAACTTTCTAGTTCCAGCTCCCGGCCGAGTTGCCATTTCTCTGCTAACCAGCCTTCTCCTTCTTGCTCAGCGGCAGCGAGCAAGGAGGGGGAGGGGAGGCCGGAGCCGTGGGAGTTCTCCAGAAAAACTTTCCACCCAACCCAGCGCCTTTCCTCTGTCCCCATTTCCCATCTGTTTCCCTGCTCTGCCAGAATCACCTTTCTCTTTTGCTAACACCCCCCACCTCCAGGCCTTTTAAAGGGATGGGGAATTTCGGCTGTTCCCTCTTCTTTCCCAAAGAGCCAAATTCTTTGATGCCGTCGGAGGGAGCTGTCAGGGGGCTAAGATTGATCGCCTCATCTCCTCTCGGTCCCTCTGACCCACTTATTTAAAAATCTTACCCCAGATCGACTTTTCATTTTCTGCTTTGAGATCTAGTTTCCCACCGATTGCTTGGGGCCGTGAGTCTTGTACCCATTCCCGCCAGTAAATTACAGCACTCCCTAAAGTTCATACTCTCTTTAACTTCTGAAAAGAAATGAAAACAACAATTTCCCCAGGGGCTAAAAATGAGATATCATCTCTGATCATTATTTTTGCACCCCCTTCAACTTCAGAGAATTCTATCTTGTCGGGGATATTTATTTATACATACATACAAGGATAAAAATGGCAAGGGCATTCCTGTGGGGGGGAGTACCCCCTCCCAATACACTGACCTGAGGTTTGAGAGTTCTTTAAGTCAAATTGGGGGCTACCTTGGTTCTTGATTCTTGTTCCTGTTTCTGGATATAGATGCAGACACAGGCTTGAGGCTTGAGAGGGTGCATATGCATCTTAGACCCTGTCTGCTGGGGTGTCATAGAGGAGCCCGATGCCTCCAAGTGAGGAGGCAGGTAGACAGGGGCAGGGGCAGTGCTGCAAATGCTGGGCAGAGAAGGGAACCGAGACTTCACAGCTCCACAGGCCAGAGGCCCAAAAGGGCTCCTTACTATCTATCTCACTCCTCTGTGTCAGCCTAGGAGTGCTTGTCGATTTTCTAAGATTTATCTGTTGCTTTTGGGGGGTGGGCTGGGGATAGTGATGCTGATGATTGTAAATCTCTTCTCTTCCTTATTGCACTGTAACACAGACCTTTCCCAAAGGGGAAAACCTCTTTCTACTACCTCTTCCTCCCATATTGAGATCCTCACTCAGCTTTCTATTTTTTTTTTTTTTTTTTTTCGGGGAGGGAGCAGGGAATGCTGATGGCCTTATAAAGAAAGCTTTACTCTATTAAAAATATTTGAAAAAGAGGAAGGCTTCTCCCTTAAGTTCTCTTGTTTCCTGGGTTCCAGAACCTCCCCTCCTCTGAAGGGAATGAAGAAAAGGTTCCTTTAGCTTATCTGGAGAAAGCGGGGCATGAGGAGCAGGCATGTAGGACTGGGGGGCTCATGGTGTCCAGGTCATAGTCCTCTAGAGTTTTTGAATCAATTAAAGCAAATAATGCTCTGTTTTCTACAAGGCCCAGACGAGTGATTGGCCAAGGCGGGTCCCGTGACCATGAATTCCCTGCAATTTCGCCGGAGTCCTGGGTTTAATAGAGAGAGTCCCCATACGCTTGTATTTATCAGCAATATACAATTATAAAGACCCAAAATTTAAAAAAACAAAAAAGAGAGAACAAAATCTTCCCCTCCCAAAATCGCTGCATCACACAAACCTGGGGGGGGCAGGAGGGGGGGTCCCTTCCGATCCTCCCTCCTGACGCCCCCCCAGCAGGCCCCCTCCCCCACCATTGAAAGCCATGAATTTTGAATTTGAGAGGGAGATTGGGTTTATAAACAGCCAGCCATCGCTCGCCGAGTGTCTGACTTCCTTCCCCGCTGTCTTGGAGACATTTCAAACTTCATCAATCAAGGAGTCGACATTAATTCCTCCTCCTCCTTTCGAGCAAACCTTCCCCAGCCTCCAGCCCGGCGCCTCCACCCTTCAGAGACCCGGGAGCCAAAAGCGAGCCGAAGATGGGCCCGCTCTGCCGCCGCTCCCCGCCGCCCCCCTGGCCCCCGAGTTCCCCTGGATGAAAGAGAAGAAATCCGCCAAGAAACCCAGCCAATCCGCCGCGTCTCCCCCAGCCGCCTCCTCCGTCCCGGCCTCCGGGGTCGGATCGCCGGCAGGTCGGTAAGCGTGATAGGGGTTGGGTGAGGGGCAGCTAGAAAAAAGGGGGGAGAAGGAGCAATAGGGGAGGTAGAAAAGGTGTCGAGCCTGTTGGGGTTTCTTGCCCCCGCCGATTCCAGGGACGAGGAAGCAGAAAAGACCGCTGTGGTTCAGGCCTGGCAGCTGCCAGCATTTTTTTTTTTTCCCTGTCCCTATAGCAGATTTTGGAAGCTGGTTGGGGAAGAGCATCTTTTTCTGCTAGGAGAAAAGGATTCGATTGAGGTTTCACATTTAGCTGTGTGGAGGAGTGTTGTTGGATGGGGTCGAAACTGGAGGCAGGAAAAGATTCAATCCCATCAACTCTAGCTGTAGAAGAGAGGTAATTTGAGAGCTGGGGGCTAGGGAGGAGAAGAGGTGAGGAACAATCTTTCTTGACGAATCCTTTCCCCAGGCTGAGTTGGAAAGTGCTGAAATGAGGGATCCACTCGGAGGACCTGGGAGGGGCTCTGAGGTTCTGGGGGCGAAAGGGAGCCGCTCCCTAACCCCTGCATGGTCCGTGGGCGGCTCTCTGAATGCTGTGTGCTGACTCTGGCCGGGTCTGGCGGCAAGAGAGGGACGAGAAAGAAGGCAAGAGCCGTGGGAGCGAGCCGCTTTGGTAGGCGGGCAGGTCGGGGGTGCCGCTGACATTGTTTTGGGAGAATGGGATAGTCTTTTATTTCAGCCGAATTGAGGTTGGGCTGAGGACATGGCCCGCATTGACGCCCAGCCCGCTTTCCCCGCAGATGGGCCGGGACTGCCGGAGGCCGCCGGCGGCGGGGTGCGCAGGCTGCGCACCGCTTACACCAACACGCAGCTGCTGGAGCTGGAGAAGGAATTCCACTTTAACAAGTACCTGTGCCGCCCGCGACGCGTGGAGATCGCGGCCTTGCTGGACCTCACCGAGAGGCAGGTGAAAGTGTGGTTCCAGAACCGGCGCATGAAGCACAAGCGGCAGAC